AACTCTTGAGTCAGACTACTTGGTTTAAATCCCAGCCCTGCCATGTACTACATGTGCGACCTGGAATAAGCCACTTAGTGGCTCTCTGCATTATTTTGGTCATTTGTAAAATGAAGATAGTAACTGTACCTACCTGACAGAGTTGCTATAAGGATTAAATAAGCTTTTATATATGCAAAGCACTTTGAACAGTGACAGCACATAAGTTCTATATAATGTTAAGTCATTATTACTATTGCTACATATAATTTTAGAAACAAGGACAGTGTTATATTTCCATTTTTGGAGGAAAAACCATCCATAAATAGTTTTGAGCAACTTACTTATTTCTCTGTAAATTGATGACAAGCAGGAGCTAAGAATACCTTATAATGCCTCTAAGATTACTTATAGAAAAGATTTATTTGTTCCAACTTTTGAGATAGAAACCCCTCAAGTTCAGCCTGATAACCACCTCATAGCAAAAGGTAGAATCTAGGACACAAAGTTTCCATACAATAAATAAAAGTCAGAAAAAAATTTTTAACATTTTAAAGAGAAAACATGTACACAACAACTTAGTAAATAGTAATAGAAAATAGTAGAATAAAATACCTATCTTTAAAATAAAAGTCTTAGTATATAAGGAAAAAAAAATCCCACCTTAAAAAATCTCTCTAACAAAGTTGAACTAAAAACTACTGCTAAAAACAGGAGGCTGGCTCCCGATCATACATAACTCCTAGTATCTAAGCCCTTGTGAAAACCCTGCCTACACTGAGTAACACTGACTTGTGTAATAAATAGGATACTGAATAAATGTAACTTCTGAGGCTAGGTCACAAAAAGCACTGTATTTTTTATCTTGGATCACTTGCTCTGGAGGAAGCCACCTGCTACGTCATGAAGACACTCAAAGGAGCTCAGTTGAAGAGGCCTCTTGCTAATAACAGCTGGGGAGAAACTGAGACTTTCTGCCAACAGCCATATGAGTGAGCCATCTCAGAAGTGGGTCTTCCAGCCTCAGTAAACCCTTCAGATGAGTGCAGAGCCAGCTGACATCTTAAGTGCAGCTTCATAAGAGACCCCAAGTCAGCACCACCCAACTTAGCTGCTCCCATATTCCTGACTTATGGGCTGTGAAATAATAAATGTTTAATCTTTTAAGCCACTAAGTTCTGAGGTAGTTTGTTACATAGCAAAAGATGATTAATACAGTAAGAGAGAAATTCCATGTGTCAATCCAATCTGAAACATGACATACTTGAAAAGAGCTGCTAGGTCATACGGTAGAAAACATCTTTGCAAAAAAAAGTAAATGACACATGAGTTCATAAAGGGGACTTCCACAGGTCTTATGTTGAACAAGCACCTACAGTTTTGTGCACAATTTTTATTATAAGGCTTGCAACCTAAATGTGCTCTTAATAACTTCCATAGGAGACATAAAAAAGTATCTCAAACACAAAACAAAATTTCATTGTTATACAAATTTGAGGGGGTACTTTGACTTTAAATGAAGTAAGTTTCTCTGGATCCACTTGTAAACGATTTCTTTCTTATCTCTATGAATCTACTTTTAGAATATTTATTAATGGAGAATGTCACGAAATGAGACATGGAACACCATGTAGCAGTTCATTACTTTGCCTCCCTCCAAGAGATGTAAATAAGTTATCTCTATTAGAAGGACTGACTTAGGTAAATTTATATTTAGGTCTAAGTTTAACATATATGATGAGTTTCTCTCCAGATAAAGAAAGCAAACAGCAGTACAAGGGCAGAACTACGTAACTTTGTCATTTTCAAAGTTTTTATTTTTAATAAAAAATGAGTATGACCAATGTACACAGCAAGACTTTTATAGACACTAGGAAATACTGATACCAAGGAAACATGGTACACCTGTGTGGGCAACGAAAGATGTTAGAAAATTTAGCATACACTACTGCATCCGCCCTTAGGAAATACATTCTCCAGCAAAGTTCATCACCACAAACATGGTCACTCAGTAGGTTCACTGCCCCTTTGTAAGGGTGCACATGACCCCTAAGACCATGGCCCTCTCCCAAAGGAACTACAGTATAGATACAAAGTTTATAAAAACAACAGAACCGGTAAAGATATGATGACCTGCAAAAGAAAGGCTTATCAAAAACCCCAAAGTCCAGACAATGCAGTACCATATTCTATTACATATGTATGTATGTATGTGTATGTGTGTGTGTATGTGTGTGTGCACGCATATGTTTATCTCCAAACTCTGAATTCTTCAATCCTAAGAAAAATAAGCATTATGGCAAATTTTACATTTTATAGTAAATAGAGAAGAAAATAAATGATAACCCCACTGACATCCTGGGTCCTTAGATTGCCTTAAAATGTAAATGTAACTAGGAACTGAAGATGTGATAAGGTTAAGAACTAGCCAAACCAGAGCCTAAGATACAGTTAAAAAAGAAAAGGCTTCCAAGTCATACTACTTTTCAAAGAATTAAATCAACTGAGATCTTTAGATAAAAAGAATTTCATTAACTGATTCTATGCAGGTCCATTTACTGCCTCTCCATATGATCCAACACATTATATAGAATCTCAAGGAAAAAGATGGTGAGCAGAAATGACATGTTTTATTACTCTAGGATTTTTAAGTGTACATATTGAAGGCTATTGATAATTAGCTACATAAAAACTTCACATATAGTAAATAAAAACCATAAGGCCAAGAAAAACCACAAATAAGAAATTTTTTAAAAAAGAGTTTAAGAAGGAAAGTAAATATCTAAAAATTTTAAAGCTTACATAAGCTATATAAAACCAAATGGAATGGCTAAAGCAATATAATATTCATGAAAAATGGCAGTTGACAAATAAAAATATAAAATGAATTATGACATATATTGAGAAAGCAAAAAGTAAAATTTTTACAATTAAAAATAAATTACTGAACAAGGCCAGGTGCGGCGGCTCCCAGATGTAATCCCAGCACTTTAGGAGACTGAGGTGGGCTGATTGCTTGAGCCCAGGAGTTCGAGACCAACCTGGGCAACATGGTAAAACCCATCTCTACAAAAAATACAACAGAAATTGGCTGGGCACGGTGGTGTGCATCTGCAGTCCCAGCTACTGAGGAGGCTGAGGTGGGAGAATCACCTGAGCCCAGGAAGTTGAGGCTGCAATGAGCTGAGACGGTGTTATTGCACTCCAGCCTGGGCAGACAGAGTGATACACTGTCTCAGGAAAAAAAAAAAAAAAAATTACTGAACAAAACAAAGCCACTGCTAACTAAGGCAATTTCAACACTACCATTTTACCTCCAGTAACATTAGTGGGAAAGCAATTGCAAGCAATATTAGTTGCCACTAATTGTAAATGGTTATCATAAGATGTTCCACAGAGATTTAGGATATTTCTCTCAGTACTTTGGAGATGTTATGGGTAGAAAAAAATGAGAAGCTAAGTGGGCTGGTTCTGGAAGGCCTCTTGTCCTCAGTCAGAGTCATGCCTCTTTTATTTGTTTTATATTTCAGCATGCTCTTTAAGATTGGTCTAAAACAGGAGTTTCCCAGCTCCTCTCCCTTATTTGTTTTATATTTTAGCATGCTCCCTAAAATTGGACTAAAACAGGAGTTTCCTAGCTCCTCCCCGACCCCAAATGCTTGAATAATCCTACTTTACAATATTATAAACACTAACAACTATTTGGATTAAATGAAACCATAGAATTCTTTGACAAATCAAATATAAGACACATCATACTGGGTACTATTACTTTCTTACTACCATAATTTCTTCTTCATTATTTATCTTCACTTCTAAATAGAATTTATTTACTGTATGAGACTATAAACTCATACACTGTAAGTGTGTATGAGAATATAAACTACTAGAGGGCAGGGCTACATGCACCTATTTTGTAGCAAGCACCCTCAGCACGGTCCAATGACAATTTTGGTGTTGAGTGTCTGATGTAACTGTTCTCCCTTGCATGGATCACAGGAGAGGAATAGTAACAAGCATATATAGTACATCTACTCTTTCACAGAGTTCTCACTGCAGGTACCAAGTAATAAAAGCTTTTTTGCTCCCACTGTGGCACATTTCAAAGTATATCAGCACATGTGCCTATGTGTTTGTTCAAGCATTAATGCCTGTGAAAGAAATGCTTCTCATCTTTGGGATATGAACTCTTTACAATTTTCCCAATAAGAATAAGAATATGGTATTTGTCTTTTGAAAAACATGAAGAACCCTACTGAGGTCCTACAAATAAAAATAATGTAAGAGGATAAAAGTTTCTCTTTACTTTTGAAAGGGTAAGTTACAAAATGCAACTATGTAAAAATAAAAAAAAAGGAGACCGGGTGCGGTGGCTCACATGCCTGTAATCCCAGCACTTTGGGAGGCCGAGGTGGTCGGATCATGAGGCCAGGAGATCAAGACTGTCTTGGCCAACATGGTGAAACCCCGTCTCTACTAAAATACAAAAAATAAGTTGGGCGTGGTGGCGCATGCCTGTAATCCCAGCTACTTTGGAGGCTGAGGCAGGGGAATCGCTTGAACCTGGGAGGTAGAGGTTGCGGCAAGCTGAGATTGTGCCACTGAACTCCAGCCCGGTAACAGAGCAAGACTCCATCTCAAAAAAACAAAACAAAACAAAACAAAACAAAACAAAACAAAAAGACAATAATTGAGAAAATCTGCAAATGCGATTTTGCTTTCATTGTTACTAAAATTTTGTAAAAGTTACATGATTTTATTTTAGATCACCTGAAATAAGAGTCTTCATGGCAGTAAAGTTTTACAACCTGTTACACATTGTGTTCATTTTAAAAGTGCAATGCATTGAAGATATAAAGACTTTTTCATTCAATAACCAACATCTATATCTGATTATATAAATGTAATAGGAATACATTTTTTGTAAACTAAAAATAGCTGTGAAAACTAAAAAAAAAAAAAAAAAAGATAGATATTTTCAGAGGTGAAATTTAGTAGTAGAAAATTTGGGGAAATGATACCTCATCAGTGTTGTAGATAATCTGGAGTCCTGAGGAAATCATTTCCACAAGGTAAAGGAGATAGAGTGACACTGCATTTATCTGCAACAAACAGACACATTAAAAGGTTAAAGGAAACAACCAAAACAAGTTCTAAAATTAATTAATTAAGGCTAAAATTACAAGTCATTTGCTCTAATAGTGTCATAAAACTATTTCCTTTCCTACTGTGAAAGAAAGGTGTTGTGAATTTAGTTGATAATAAAATCCCAGCTTTGTATGCAAAATTCTAAATTCTCAAATTCATTGTAATGGAAAACACCGGATTACGGAAACAGCTTCAAATAAAACTGTTAACAATTGTTTCTACATCATTTGTTTTCTTTAAATGGCAAAAAGAACTTTGAAAAAATAGGAATATATCATTTGCTTTTTAAGATTTATTTTCAAGCTTTGGGTCTAAAGTACTTCTACTTTGCCCCATAGGCAGTATGAAATGCCAATCCACCTCCAATATATGGAAATGAGAAAAGTTATTTGGTAAGCAAGACATGATGATGAGGCCAGTACCCCATAAACAATAGGCGGTGCATCTTGAAAACAGTCTTATATTCAGCGAATACAGAATTTCTGTAAACAACTGCAGGAACATATTAATGTTAATGGTATAACATAATTTAAAACATGTTTATGAATGAATTAGTTTTATGAACAAAGGAGGTATTATTTTAGTGTATTAAAAATAGATATTTTATGATATAAACAAAAAAATACTAATATCCACTTTAACAAAAAAGGATACTCACAGAATCCTGAATGGGATGTGTGAGTTGTCTCAGGTAAAGAAGCAGGAAATATAAGTGCCACAACAGGCACAACCCTTGGTTGGTCCATTTTAGCTGTCAACTTGACTGGATAAAGGGATACCTAGACAGCTGGCAAAGCATTGTTTCTGGGTGCATCTATGAGGATGTTTCTGGAGGAAGCAGGCATGTGAGTTGGCCGGCTGAGTGGGGATGATTTGCCCTCAAGGTAGGCAGGCACCACCGAAATGACTGGGGACCACCCAGATGGAACAAAAAGGCAGAGGAAAGGTGAATTCTTGCTCTCATATGCCCTTCTTCTCCTTCCTTTGAACATCGGAACTCCACGTTAACCAGCTTCCATCAGTGGCCCCCTGGGCTTTCGGGCCTTCATCCTCCAACGGAGAGTTACACCACTGGCTTGTATGGTTCTGAGGCTTTCAGATGTGGACTAAGCCACATTAGCGGCATCCTTGCTTTTGCAGCTTGCAGACAGCCTCCCGTGGGACTTCTCAGCCTCCATAATTGTGTGGGTCAATTCCTCTAACCTCTCCTTCCCTCCCTCCCTCTCTCTCTCTGTCCCTCTCCTCTCTTCATCATTATTAGTTCTGTCCCCCTGAAGAATCCTGACCAATACACCTTGAAAACATAATGCTAAATTTAAAAAGCCAGTCACAAAAAGATCATTTATTGTATATGAAATGCCAAAAGTAGACAAATCCACAAGGACAGAAAGACTGGCTGCTGCCTAGAGCTGGGGGGCTTTGGAGAATATAGGGAATACAAAGTTTATTTTTGCAAGTAATGGGTATAACGTTTCTTCCTGGGGTGATGACAATGTTCTAAAATTTATAGTGATAATGGTTGAGAAACTCTGAATATACTAAAAACCATCAAATTATATACTTTAAATAGGTGAATTACATGTTATGTGAATTATATTTCAATAAAACTGTTATTAAATAAGTAAATAAGAAAAAAAGGCAGTGAAAAACTTTCACTCAGTCAGGAAACTGTAAGCCTGAGTTAAAAATAGAGAGAAAGCAAGGTGTAATTCTATTCCCATAGAATTCTAGCATAGATTATTTCCCTCTGACAGCTCGAGTGGCTATGTCTTCCATGACTCTCCTCTGGCCCAACTGAGTAATAGATGGAAAATTGGGGCAGAAAATTACTGGTGCCCTGGAGGCCTTGGGCAGAGCAGCCCAGGGCCTGGCATTGCTGGTGATCCTCTCAGGAACCAGGCTGATCCCGGGTGTCTCCTGACTTTCCGGCACTCAAGGGTCCATTGGATGTCAGGGACTTATCAAGGTCCAAGTGGGCCACACAAGAAGATGCAGTATTCTGGTTTTAGATTTTTCAGATTTACACTAACATTTTAGTGACTCTTCTTAAAACATGGTTGTATGGTGAGAAGGGTTTCATCCCACTGTCAGGCTCCCCCAGATGTTCTCTTACAGCATTGACACTAGCCATTGAAAAATGACTTCGAAGAAATTTCATTCCTATGGGCAGCCTTTTACAGGGGACACCTCTAAGAGCTCTCTGTTCTGACTTGTGGGATGCTTCTGTGAGAAAATGTTAGTACATCGTAAGTTGCAAAGGGACTACCATATAACAGGTTGACCAAAATTTAAGGCCAACTATGTACCAAGTGCTGAGCTGAATTCTGGGATAAAAAGATAAATAATCTGCTATTTTCTGAAAACTCTACTTCTGATAGCAAACATATTTATCAAAGGAAAAGGCACATACAATCTGATTATGCTATAGTTATAAGGTTAAGGTTGAAAAACTACATATTCATACAACACTAACTAACTCTCCAAGGAGCTATTTACAAACAAGTACAAGAGTTTCTGCTGCATAGAAATGAGAGCACCGCACTTTCTGTGTTTAGAGAAGATATACTAAAGTAAGACATTTCAGATCTCTAGAGTGAGAGGGACTATAAAAAGGAGATACTCTTAATTTAGTAAGGAATATAAGAATAGTAAGTATTCTGTCCCAAAGACAGAGAACCAAATGATGAGCAGAAAATCGATTAAACAACAGAACGTGCAGCTAAAAAACAATACACAGATGTGAGAGGGGAATAAAATGAAAAAAAAATAAAACTTTACAGTGTGTTCTAAGCATAGGTATAAAATTTAATATATTATATAAGACAAAATTTACGGACTTCAGAAATACCTTTTGGAATTACATTTCAGTGACATGTTTTTAGCTTTACTGAAGGATGATACATTAAGAAATGAACTGCTGTTAAACAAAACTGATTTGCTATAACACCACTGTCAACTGTTTTTTGTCCCCTAGTTCCTAAATGCTAAAATTCTTCTAAATTTGATAACATGTAAAAACTTTCGTCACTGAAATAATTGTAGGCTTCCTTCTTTTGCACATTAATAATATTATAATTTATCCATTTACCCTTTTTGCTTGAAGACCAAGAATTTACTCGGATTTCATGTTCAATTGCCGCAATTAACTCAGCCCTGGTGGCTGCCATTTCACTTTCTTCTCCATTTTAGGGTTGATTCTGTACTTCTATTTTGAACAATTTATAAAATCTAATTTAAAAATTATTTTTAAACAGCCTCAAATCCTCTATGACAGGGCTTCCCAACCTCTGGGCCAAAGACTGCTATGGGTCCACGTCCTGTTTGGAACTAGGCTGCACAGCAGGAGGTGAGCGGCAGTGAGCAAGCATTAATGCCTGAGCTCTGCCTCCCCTCATATCAGCAGTGGCATTAGATTCTCAGAGCAGCGCAAATACTATTGTGAGCTGCACATGCAAGGGATTCAGGTTGTGCTCTCCTTATGAGAATCTAATGCCTGATGATCTGAGATGGAACAGTTTCATCCCAAAACCATCCAGCCCTTACGCCATCCGTGGAAAAATTGTTATCCACAAAACTGGGCCCTGGTGCCAAAAAGGTTGGGGATCACTGTTCTATGCTACAGAATATAAGGAGAATAAAATTTATAATATCTTTTTACCTGAAGATGACCATATTCCTCATAGGAGAGCAACTCATCTCCTGTATGCACATTGAAAACAGAGTGAAGACATGTTGTTGGGCGTGGATCCTGCTTAAACTGCTGGACCTAGAATGAAATATAAAATTTAAACAACGTTAGTAATTCATAAACTTATCCAAGACTATAGATTATATAAGCTATTTTTCACGAAACTGTTTAATGAACAAAGCTAAGGTAAAGGACCGAACAAAGCAGAAATGTTACCTTTTCTCAAGAAACAAACAATACAAAAAGTTCGTAACTACTAACTTGATAAAGTTAACATGATTCTCAATTGATATTTCACATGCACAGCAACTCAGGTATCGTATGGAGCAGGTTAATGTAGTAGCAATGGCTTTTGCAATGTTTTGCATCTTACTTTGTTTCAGAGTACAATTCTGCTTTATGTTGTGACACAGGATTTCAGTGATTGTATTCCACTGCACTGTTATTTGGAAATGCCTACATGACACTCATAATGAAAAAGGACCACAGGCCAATTCTAGTTCAGTAAGTGTTCAAACTTCAAATACAATTTCTTTCTCTAAGGGTCGCAAATTTTAATGTATGCTGCTGTTAACATGCTTTCATTTCCCCTTCCGTATATATTGTACACTCATTACTAAGACATCAACTCTAAGAGAATATAGGCCACACCATTATTTACTAGCTAGACAAAAAATTTTACCATTTTAGAATAAGTAAATACCTAAATAATCCAACAGAAAAACTCTGGGGACAAAAAATCCACCCATTTCTTTAGGGCCTGTTCAATTCAACGTGGCAAACATTTACTGACGCCAATTATGTGACAAATACTGTGCTAATTCCTGGAAGTCTGAGATAAATAGGAACAAAAAAAAATGAATTAAAAGATATATAGCTTTAGGTAAATGCAATAATTCTCTTTTAAAGAGGAATATGAGAAATAAGTGATGATAATACCTAAGTCGCTGCAATCTTGCCTTGTTTCAGTTCACTACGAAACTATATAGAACCATGTTTTCTTCTCTATCTTTAAAAATTCTTCTTTTCCTTAAAATACCATCTTAAAAAATCTTTTTATACTTTTTGAACCCTCACCAAAATTCCTTCCTCTGGACTCCCACATCAGTGTAGTTATCATTCAATTATTTTTCCTGTTTTGTACTTTTACTAGCGTGTATCTCCCTGTGAAATGGCATAATACACATTTGGTCTACCTTCCTAGTTCTGGGCACAGGGCTCTGAGAACCCTTTGAATTTCCTGAGCAACAGGCACAAAAAGAATGTCTTTTTTTCATATAAGTCTCTTTCAACCATACTTGAGTTTTTGCTAATGATGTGACTCTTGATAGGTCCCTAGATAGCTTCAAGATGGGAGACTGACTGCCAGAGGAACCAACCAAGTGATCAGAGGGTGGGAACTTTCAGCTCCTCCCTCCCACTCCTTACTTCAGGGGACATGGAGAAAGGAAAAGCTGGTGATTGAGTCAATCACCAATAATCAGTGATTTAATCAATCATGCCTACATAATGTGATTGCTATAAAAACCCTAGATGATGGTATCTGGAGGGCTTCTGGGTCAGTGAACACATTTGCATGCCAAGAGGGTAGTGCACCCCAGATACCATGTGGACAGACGCTCTTGTGTTTGGGACTTTCTGCACCTTCTACCACTTCATCTGGTGTTTGAACTGGTAACAGTAAGTAAAGTGTCTCCCAAGTTCTGTGAGCTGCTGTAACAAAGTATTGACGCCGAGGAATTATTGTAGCCAAGTCAGAGAGAATTGTGGGTAGCCTGGGGATCTACTACTTACAATTGGTGTCTGAAGTTGGGGGTAGTCTTGTGGAACTGAGTCTTAACCTGTAGGATCTGTTTTAACTTCAGGTCATTACTGGAAGAATTGCAACAAACTGTATATACCCAGTTGGTGTCTCAAATTCGAGAACTGCTTGGTGTGGAAAATCCATACATTTGGTGTCAAAAGTGTTGTGAGTAGAGAAACAGTATTGCTGTAGAGTCCTACTATCTTGTAAACTTCTACAAGCTATGCTGTCCAACACGGTAGCCACTAGCTACATGTGACTAATTAAATTAAATTACAATTAATTATATTAAATTAAAAATTAAGCTCTTCAGTCACACTGGCCACATTTCATGAAATCAATAGCCACATGTCACTAGTGGGTACTGTATTGCTCAAGAGTAACATGGAACATTTGTATGCTCATAAAAAGTTCTATTGGGCAATATTGTTCTAGAGGGATGTTACATCTTTACTGTCTCCAAGAGCCCTACATAAACAAATACAGCCCTCCCTATGATTAAAGAACCTAATCAGCAAAATAAAAGTCTGAACCTATCAGTACATAATCAGGACCTAGAGAATGGGTACAGTTAGGGATGTAAGTTCTTCTCTATTGATAAAGTGACAAAGTCATCTGGTGTTAATTCAGAGAAGATGACTATCCCTTCTCAATATCTGAAACTGCTTGTAGTAATCTGAACCTACACAAACAGAAACCAATGTGGTCACTCTTTTCACACTATTATCTCAAAGTCCTGAATATTATTCTTAACTCCTATACAAAAATAGTAAAACTGAAGCAAAACACATTTTAACCACTTGATACAGATCTAAAAGGATAAGGTTTTATCAGTTTAATAAAGTGACTCTTGCAGTTGACAAGGTGGTGTTTGTCATTTGTCTTCAAGACATGCAAGAACCCAGCAGGACAATTTATATTCAATCACTATGTCAGGGGAAAAGCAACTACTAAATGATTAAAGATACCCAAATGGGGGATTATATAAGTACATTTTGAGTTTTAAAGCCATTAAAAAGACAAGTAATTTAAAATTTCAGAAAAAAATAAGGTCGAAAGTATAAGCTTTGAAGATTAATGGGGCATGCTGTATGTCAATTACAAACAAAAAGTCATCTTGAAAGCAGACAAAAACAAGAGGATGCTAATTAGTATTTTATACGATTCTGGCATCTGGCAATTAAAATTAAGATAATAAATAAAGCAAAATTTTCTAGACTAAAATAAATCTAGAATTATGCCTCTTCCACTTGTATTTTGCTCAGATTTTTCCTGAAAACTTTTATCATTATGAATAAACAGTTTATCATTTGGGAAAAGGTAATTGAGTATTTTGCCATCCATTTTTAACTTATAGCCTTAAAACATGCATTTAGAGAAAAAAAAAGTCTTCTCATAAGGGAATCCTGGAAAAATAAATTTTATAAAATTTTAATGATTTCTCATTAATTAGAAACTAGCATTTCAAACAAAAAAAATTTAAGTAAATAATTAGACACAGCAACATTTATAGCCTCTTATAAAGCAAACGTCTGCCCTCTAAACTAATTGCAGATTGAATCAACTCTGAAAAACTCTGAATGCCTCTCTGTAAGCAGAATTATAATAGACAGTAAATAAGAGAATAGGTATCTGCATACTGAGAGGTAAAACATAGCTGACAGTAACAAGCAGGCATTAAGATAATGGCAAGGCAATAAAAACCAGAAAACAGACTGCTCTAAATTCTGTAAATAAATCAAGAAAAAGTTCACGTATTCACTCAAATTCATAATCAACTTAAAATATCTTTTAGCTAGTATTTTTAGAAAATACATCAGGAAGCGTGTTTTATGATGAGAAATCAATAGAAGTGGAGAAGGGAGACTTTCTAGGTCATGGTTTTACTTCAAAAGATAACATGAGGCTAGAGGTCAAACGGTGAATGAACACTACAAATGTGCTTTGCTTTAGTTTCAAGGGAAGACCAACAGAGAAATATTTCACATTTTAAGATACGTTTATATTCCCTCTTGCAACAGTATTGTAAAGGAAATGGCCAAGACTGGAGGAAAAGAACAGTGAGCAGCAATAAGATGTGAAGGTATGGTGAGAGGCTTTGAGCTAGGTGCATGCTTCAATCTCCCTGAGTCAGTCCCTCACACTCATATGCACTAGAATAATATACTCCTTACAATTCATATTTACATTAATGGTCTATATCATAGCTACACAGGAAAGAAATGATAATCCCTTGTAATTTACAGAATTTAAGATAGCTTAACTTGGTCAGGCATGGTGGCTCATGCCTGTAATCCTAGCACTTTCGGAGGCCGAGGTGGGAGGATTGCTTGAGCCCAGGAGTTCGAGACCAGCCTGGGCAACATATTGAGACCCTGTCTCTATTTTTAAAATTAAAAAACAAAAACAACCTTAGGTCACACTCAAACTGTATTAGAAGAAAACATATTACAATTATGATGCTAGTTAGTAACATTGAGTAAGAAATGCCATTATAAAGTCAAAACGCCTTTGTAAAGTCAAATCTCAGCAGAAAAGCCACTAACAATTGGCTAATGGCCAGGTGCTAATGGTCTACACATCATAGCTACATAGGAAAAAAAATGATAATCCTTTATAATTTAAGGAATTTAAAATAGCTTAAGTTGGCCTGGCATGGTGGCTCACGCCTGTAATCCTTGCACTTTGGGAGGCTTAGGTGAAAGGATTGCTAGAGCCCAGGATTTCAAAACCAGCTTGGGGAAACATGGAGAAACCTTGTCTCTACAAAAAATACAAAAATTAGCTGGGTGTGTTGGTGTACGCCTGTAGCCCCAGCTACTTGGGAGGCTGAGGTGGGAGGGTTGATTGAGCCTGGGACGTCAAGGCTGCAGTGAGCTGTGATTACACTACTGCATTCCAGCCCGGGCGACCCAGAGAGACCCTGTCTCAAAAAACCGGCCAAACAACAGTAAAAAAAGCAACTGGCTAACCATGCCACAAGGAAAAAACCTTAATCCAAGCTTGTCCAACTCACAGACTCACAACTTTGAATGTAGTCCAGCACAAATTCGTAAACTTTCTTAAAACATTATGAGATTTGTTTTGTAATTTTTTTTAAGCTCATCAGCTACAGTTGGTGTTAGTGTATTTTGTGTGTGGCCCAAGACAATTCTTCTCCTTCCCATGTGGCTCAGGGAAGCCAAAAGATTGGAAACCCCTGCCTTAAACTAATACATTATTAGACTTCCTTCTGATAATTCTACTTTGTCAGCTTGTTTGGCAAACCCATGAAAACCATGATTTTCACAGTGTGTCCTAGAGAGAAAAGTTGAATTAATAAAGACGTTATGCATTTATGAAATGATACAAATGAAATAAACAATAACATCTCACACTTAGGAAAAAATTAACTTTAATCACAATTATTTCAACATAACATATGACATACTAGTTTAATTCCAGTATGTCAATTTGTGACATACTACTTCATTTCAAGCATCTGAAAAACCTTTGCAATATTGATTTGTACAGTCAAATCTCAGTAGACAAATTAAAGGCTTTTCATATGTCTCTATTTACTTTTTCTCTATAACATTTTCTTGTTGCCATATTCTGGTGGCAGAATATTAATGATTTTTTTTTTATTTTGACTTGAATTACAGGCCTGAAGAAGAAGATTTGTTATCACTCTTTCTATTTTTTTTTTTTTTTTGAGGCAGAGTCTCACTCTGTTGCCCAGGGTGGTCTCGAACTCCTGACCTCGTGACCTGCCTGCCTCAGCCTCCCAAAGTGCTGGGATTACAGGTGTAAGCCACCATGCCCAGCCTATTATTTTCTTTTTCTTTTCTTTTTCCTTTTTTTTTTTTTGAGACAGAGTTTCCCCTCTGCTGCCTATGCTAGAAAGCAATGGAGTAATCTCAGCTCACTGCAACCTCCCCCTCCAGGGTTCAAGTGATTCTTGTGCCTCAGTCTCCTGAGCAGCTGTGGCTATGGGCATGTGCCACCAAATCTAGCAAATTTTTGTATTTTTGGTAGAGACGGAGTTTCACCATGTTGGCCAGGCTGGTCTCGAACTCCTGGCCTCAAGCGAGCCACCCGTTTCAGCCTCTCAAAGTGCTACGATTTTAAGAGTGAGCCACCGTGCCTGGCCTATTATTTTCAAGTGTAGATTAAAACAATACATTCATGTGATAAAAAAATACAAAATATTAAGTGATCAAAACTGCCTGCAAATTTCCCTGTGTGCATCTCTGCTAAAAGATAGAAGTTGGAAATGCATCTGAAACACATAGTTTAGAAGGGAGAGGGAAAACTACCAATGATAACGACACAAATATTTACTGTATGTTCACCTGATACCAGCCCTTGTGCTATGTGCTCTCTTTCATCCAAGTACTGACCAGGCCTGACCCTGCTTACTTCTGGGATCAGATGAGATAGGGCGTTCAGGGTGGTATGGGGGCAGACACCATGTTCTCTCTATACATTATCTGCCCTTCTCCACCCCCACCCATTCTGATTTCCGTGGCCGCCCTCCTCCTGTATCAACCAAAACCTTTTCCAGGATCTGATGAGTGTGTGGGCATTGAGCACCTTAATCCGGCATTCAGTTCATCCCACAGTGCCAGGTATGCTTACCAGAAGTGGCCCACTAGGCACTCGCATTCCATACCCAGCTCCACACACCAGCAAGCCGGGCTTCTTACCCATTTAAAGTGTGAGAGTAGGTGGAGATCCTTCGGGTCCTAAAACCTCCAATCATTTGCTTTATGGATGAAACCACGTGGGGTGGGTTTTGGAAGAGTGCCAGCCATCCCGAGGGAAACCTCAGAGGGAACTAGCTACTAGATGGTTCCATCAGTCTTTCACCCATATATACCCAGGTCTAATGACCGATTGATTTACACGTCAGGACCGCTAGGGACTTCCACTAGTTTCCTCCAGCTTTGCCCTGACCAGGCACAGTTCACTATCTTTCAGATCCTAACAAGTGCCCTGGTGCTCCACCTCCGGGGCACTGCCCTGGGTGAGATGGGCCAGTGGTGCGCCCTCAGGGAACCGGAGAGGCCTCGGGATCCCATCTCAGCCAGTGAGTGCGCTGGCCTTCACCTTCACTGCGCCAAGGCAGCTTTCTTGCAAAACACTGACTCGCACGTGCTTTATTTCTTAATCCTTACAAAACTTAATAAGGGTGGTATTGTTGGTATCCGTATTTAACAGATGAAAAAAACAGAGGCACATGGAAATTAAATAATTTGTCCAACATCACACAGCTGGAAACAGACTGGAAACCAGTACATTCATTTATGTTGACTGTCCCGAAAAGAGTTAATATAGTAGGCCTGAGACTGCTAACCTCAGAAAGAACTGTTTGTAAGGTTGCCCCTTGGCTGATAGGTGGATACTCGGATTATGAAAGGGTTTCCACTATTCCCTCACAAGAGTGGCTCACTATACCTAAAGTGTGTACATTAACAATGTGGTTGATACTACACACCTGGTTTCCTTCTGGATGTCTGAAACTTTGGTGAGTGCTAGACAGAGGATGCCTACATGACCAACCATCAATAAAAACCTTGGGCAATAAAAACCTCAAGCTTCTATTGAACTTTCCTGATAGACATTTTACACATGTTACAATTAGTCACAATCCGTTACTGGGGGAATGAAGTGCATCTGTGTGACCCCACTGGGGAGGACTCCTAGGTGCTGGCATCTGGCTTCCTTCAGACTGTGTTCCTTGCACCTTCACCCTTTGCTGATTATGCTTTGTCTCCTCTCGTGTAATAAACCATAGCCACAATTACGATCATCTGCTGAGTCATGTGAGTCCTCCTAGTGAAGCATCAAACCTGTGGGTGGTCTTAGGGACCCATGATGCATTGATGTATACCTATGGGCACTTACTATATTAGGACCTGGGATCACGGAGATGTAGATAAGTAACGGAATAGCCGTTATATTTGTATAGAGCTTTATAGTTTTTAAAATGTTATGTATATTATTTTCTTTAATTTCCACATATTCCTCTAAAGCTGTTTTCTTTTTGTTTTTTGAGATGGAGACTCGCTCTGTCCCCAGGTTGGAGTGCATTGGCATGATCAAGGCTCACTGCAACCTCCCCTGCTCTTGGATTCAGGTGATTCTCCTGCCTCAGACTCCCGAGTAGCTGATAAAACCAGTGTGCACCATCATGCCTGACTAATTTTTGCATTTTTAGTAGAGATGGGGTTTCACCATGTTGGCCAGGATGGTCTCGATCTCTTGACCTCGTGATCTGCCTGCTTCGGCCTCCCAAACTGCTGGGATTACAGGCAAGAGCCACCACACCCGGCCTGTAAAGCTGTTTTCTAAGCCTATAATTCCTAGTCTCTTTGTATGTAAATGAACGAAGTGTTACATTTTTAAACTAAAGTTCACTTAAGCCAGAGCAATTCACATGTCCAAAAGTAATTCTGACAAGGATATTCTTTAACTAATAAAATACTGGTTAGAATTATTGATATTGTGAGGTTCCTGAGAAACTGGGTCTTTATCAAGCAACACCAGATGCAAAACGCAAACAAATCAAAGTCTAAATAACAATTCTCAATCACCTCTTGCTTAAGGTGTTTGTTCCTTCAATCTCAGGATTTCAAACCCTGGGCTAGAATGGCAAAGGCTGTTTTAACCTATTTAGTCCGCCCTAGGATGTGGCTTTTCCTTTGAAAAGTACACATTCTTCTTCAGAAGAAGCCATTGCTATACTAGTTACATTAATCCTTCAGAATGATAGGAGAATTCCCGTCCACACCACAGTGTTTTACCTTATCGGCCTGACGCATATAGCAGTAGAGAATTCCTCTCATGCATTTTATAGCTGAGTGCTCCAGCTCATGGGTCCTTCCCTTGTCATCATCAATGCGCCTGGGTGAGAGAGATAACTCATGAAACAAATTGGAAATGCATTTGAAAAGGAAGCAGAACTTCTGATAATTAAGTATTTAACTATCTGGCTAATCCTGTGTTCTGGTGACATCTACCAATTCCATCACAGTGAAACTCCATTTTCCCAGCAAAAGTAGAAATGCTGCAATGAAAAAAAAAATCCTATGATGAAACTTAGGTAGATTTTTCCTTCTTTCAAGGAGGTAAGCCAACTCCTTTTAAAAATAGTATACAATATTTCTACAGTGATTTGGCTAAAACTTTAAAGAATATTTCCATTGGAAAAAAATCCAGCAACAGATTGTTTTAAACTCACTGTTATGAAATAAAGCCAGCTTTTATTACCTATCCCTGTAGGTTATGCAATGGCCACTTGGATGTAAGTAGCAGCTACAAGTTAAGGTAGGTGCTGGCTTTCTTTGCTCTGCAGTATGTTCAATATCGTCAGGGCAGGCATTTAGTCACAGTCAAGGACGCCTTCAACTAAGCACATATCCTGGATGATACATGATGTATTTTGGCATAAAGTTTTATATTCTCTGGTTTTAATTTAAAATCAATTGAGAGTATTTTACATCTCTTGCTTTTAAAAATAAAGAACAGCTAAAATCTAACTATTAAACTAGGTTAAGATGTTACCTCTGTCCACAAGTTGCTTTTTATTATAGATCAGTAACTTTTCAAAGGTGGATGAGAGTCAACCACTACTAAAACATAAAAGTGACTTATTCATTGTTTCACTTAATCTTAACTAAAAATATCTGATAATCACTCTCACATCATTAAAAAGTACCACTTCTCTCCTTAAAAAGTATACTATAATTGCCTCCCAGTTAAATCATAGATCGCATATACCATTCACTATTGGGAAGAATGATTATTATTTTGACACAGTATGGAGAATGTCAGTAAAAAGTAAGTTATTCATCATTAGCACATCATACCTTCTTTTTCATGCTGGCACTGCACAAAAATTAGCATGAATTTGCTCTATACAGTACTTTTCCCATTGAGGTCAGACATAAGTGTTTTAATAGAGGCATATTCTACATAGACAGTGTGCCTGCAAAGAAAGGACTTTAAAGTCTCTATCTGATTTAGAAGCATTCTGGGAAAAAAAAAAATCAAATTTCGAATCTACAAAACAGTTAAAAGGATGCTATAACTTAGATTCACCATCTTAACATTAGCTTGCATTCTCTATTACATTTTCTTCATTGTTTGAAAGTAAGCTACGAACATCATGACCCTTCACTCCTACACACTTCAGAAGTATCTCTAGAAAACAAGATTCACCTACATAACCATAATACCATTATTATACCTAAGAAATTTAATACTGATACTATAAGATCTAATACATAGTCTTGGCTCAAATGTTGAAGTGTCCCAAAAATGTACTTTACAGTATTTTTTTTTTTTTTTTTTTGAGACGGAGTCTCGCTCTGTCGCCCAGGCTGGAGTACAGTGGCCGGATCTCAGCTCACTGCAAGCTCCGCCTCCCGGGTTCACGCCATTCTCCTGCCTCAGCCTCCTGAGTAGCTGGGACTACAGGCACCCGCCACCTCGCCCGGCTAGTTTTTTGTATTTTTTAGTAGAGACAGGGTTTCACCGGGTTAGCCAGGATGGTCTCGATCTCCTGACCTCGTGATCTGCCTGTCTCGGCCTCCCAAAGTGCTGGGATTAAAGGCTTGAGCCACCGCGCCCGGCCTACTTTACAGTATTTTTAAATGCATGATCCAATTAAGGATCATGTATTGCATTTGGCTGTTGTATTTCTTTAGTCTCTTTTAACCTAGCCATCCTCATACCTATTTCCTAGTCATCTGTAGTACTGACATTTTTAGAGCCCAGGCAAGTTGTCTTATAAATAGCCACAATTCAGCTTTGTCCAATTTTTTGTTCATATGTAGACTCATGTTAGATAACTTGGTAAGATGTTAGCACAAGGTGTATTTCCCATTGTGTCAAACCAGGAACAGCAATTAACATCAGTCTGTCTCATTATTGGCTTCACCACTTGGTGAAGGTGCTACTGATGCTCCCTGCACTCCTAAGATCAGTAGCAGTTTTACATTTAATAAAGCCATATTGTCCTTACCTAGAATATTTAAGGAAATGCTTTTAGTGATATCAGCATTCAAGTGTGCTAAAGAAGACTACTGCATATTATCTCAGTGTTTTTCATTTTAAAATCCAACACATCAGTAATTTCAAACAGCTAAATCATGTTCATGTGGAAGATACAATTTTTAAATCAGAAACATAACTATGGGTCACTTTCAGGAAATTAATATTCAGAAAGTTAATCTTACTAATCTTAATTATGGTTAAAATGTATTACCACTGACTATGTGTTAGCATCCACATTCAGTGCTTTCTACATATAATGAAATAAATAAAGGAGAAATTTTGTAATGTCAAACTATTTCTTTTTTTACTTTACACAATTTTTTCACTTACGACCAGACCTAATAACAGACACTTCGCTGAAGTGCAGTGATAAAACCGGAAACTGGGTAAGGGAAAAGAATTCTGACCCTGGCTCTATCATTAACGAGTTGCATCATTTGGAACAAATTTGTTAAGGACTCAGGGCTCCAATTTTATTACCTGCAAAATTTAGTCATCATCAGTTCTCTCCCTGATTGAAACCAATCAACACAATGAGAGTGTGTAGGTAGTTCATTCTACCAATGACTAATAATGCTGATTTAGAAACCTAGAGACAAAAAGTTTTGTTCACAAAGTCATAAAATCTTAGAACTGGTCTGATATAAGCTTTTAGAAAAATGAAATGGTTTAGGCTGGGTATGGTGGTTCACACTTGTAATCCCAGCATTTTGGGAGGCCAAGGCTGGCGGATCACTTGAGGTCAGGATTACGAGACCAGGCTGGCCAACATGGAGAAGCCCCATCTCTATCAAAAATACAAAAATTAGCCAGGCGTGGTAGTGCATGCCTGTAATCCCAGCTACTTGGAGGCTGAGGCAGGAGAATTGCTTGAACCCAGGGGGCAGAGGTTGCAGTGAGCCAAGGTCATGCCACAGAACTGCAGTCTGGGTGACCTCATCTCAAAAAAAAAAAAAAAAAGAAAAGAAAAAGAAAAAGAAAATGAAAATGTTTAGAGGCCTAAAAAGGGATGTGAGCAGCCATAGGTTGCACAGTAAGTCAGCAGCAGAGCCAAAAGATGGCTGCTCAATTAGTCTTGGTCCTATAAAACCCTATTATCCATTCTCAAAGTTACTAGGAGAGCACACACCAGCTCACCTGTATGCAAGAGCCAAAGCCCAGGCCCCAGCAGCGCAGTATAGACTGTCCTGGATCTTGGCCTTCTGGTCACCACCACATGTTTTAGTGGGAAAGAGACCGGTAGTTGGACTTTGATACAGCAGCAATGTTGACTTGACTGCAATTGAGGACAAGACAAAGAATGAACTGTACAGCCAGCGACTTCCCTTAGGCTAAATGCTTTAATCTTCTTTGGTTTCCTCATCCCATTTCTGACAACTTTGTTTCTAAACTTGCTATAGTATAATACTTCTGAAGATGTGGAAACAACTTCATGTCATTCCAGCCTTAGTGAGAATCCACCCTACACAAAGAAATCTTTCCAGTTTTTAGGAAAAGACTTAGCTAATTAGGACTTAAAAAGCCTTTAGCACATCCCCGGTAATGTCAATGTGTGTTAGAAATCTTATTAGGACAACATCAGGTACAGAGGGAAAAAGAGATCAAGCAAAAGACTAAGTATAATAATTTTTAAAAATCAGTTCAATAGGTAAACTTAAAGCAAATGCACAAGAAAGAGTAGCATACATTTAGTAAATCACAAAGCCACTTCAACTGCTACAATAAATGATCAACAATGTAGGAAGGGCGAGGGGAAGATCACAGAACAGGCTGGAATCCTGTGTTTCACTGATGGCTAAATTGTGCCTGGTCTTCAGAGGAGTGTACAGGATTCATTTTACTTTATTGTACAGATTAGGAAAATGTTTAACATTTTAAAACTGAATTCCATCCATATATAACATGAACACAGCAGCAAATAAATAATTTTTTATGAACATTTTACTTAAATAAGTCTGAAATTAACGTTTTATTATCTTTTATAAATGGGCTTTAAAATAGGAAAACACACACACTAAAATTACATTTACTAAAAGCTGTTTTATTGCTATCTAACTATAAATGGATGGGTAATGCTTTTCCTGAAATGCATTACGCTAACCCTATCTAGATTGGCAACTACCTTTTTGTTTTGAGACAGGGTCTCGCTCTATAACCCAGGTTGGAGAGCAGTTGCATGATCATAAGCTCACTGCAGCCTCTAACCCCTGGGCTTCAGTGATCCTCCCAACTTAGACTCCCAAGTAGCTGGGTCTCCAAGCAATCACCACCACGCCAGGCTAATCTTTAAACGTTTTGTAGAGAAGGAGGGCTTGTTATGTTGCCCAAGCTGGTCTCAAACTCTTGGGTTGAAGCAATCTTCCCATCTTGGTCTCCCAAAGTGCTAGGATTATAGGCATGAGAGATCACACCCAGCCATGTTATCTACTTTTTGGGATAGTTTTTCAAAGGTCGAAAACATTCTGTTCTGTCACAGAGATTTAAAGAATTAAACTTTCTTTTTGTTTTTCTCAGACTAAATTTATCTTTTTTTTTTTTTTTTTTGAGACGGAGTCTCACTCTGTCATCCAGGCTGGAGTGCGGTGGCACAATCTTAGCTCACTGCAACCTCTGCCTCCTGGGTGCAGGTGATTCTCCTGCCTCAGCCTCCTGAGCAGCTGGGATTACAGGAGCACACCACCACACACGGCTGATTTTTGTATTTTTAGCAGAGACGGGGTTTCTTCATGTTGGTCAGGCTGGTCTCAAACTCCTGACCTTGTGATCCGCCCGCCTCCGCCTCTCAAAGTGTTGGGATTACAGGCGTGAGCCACTGTGCCCGGCCTCTAAATTGATCTTATCATAATCATTTCTTTCAGAAAACCAGGGTATTTATTATTTTTCCCAGTGTAAAGAATTAGTCCTAAGAGTTCAAAGTACACAATTTACATTTAAAAAAGTTCTCTTTAGCTAGTTATTGCCAAAAAGATAATAAAATGGGCAACTTAATGCATACAAGAATCTTGACCAAAATAAGTGAGATTGAAGTTTTATATGAAGTTGAAATAGATGAAAAGTCCATTATCTTAGGGGGAGAGAAATCAAATTTTATGTTTTCTGCCATACTAGTACAAGTAAAATGGCATAACATGTAAACTGACAAAAAGATTAATATGCATTCTAATATATGGTCTGACAAACAAAGAGGAGGCCCACATACACATATCTGAAAGTTGCTTACTCACATTGAAAAACAAAATTTGTAAGGCTGGTCCTGGAAAAACAAAATAAACAAAACACCAGGGCCCTGATATCAATAATACTAACCTGTGATTATCTCTTGTATCTCAATGAATTAGAAATGGATATAAAAAGTTTAGGACTATCTGGGAACCATGTTTAGGTAAATAAGCAAATTAATACTTATGTGAAATATTTGTGTATTAATCAAAAAACATCTTCAAGGTCTCAAATCTGGTAACGTTTAGTAAGGTTTAAAAAACACAGAAGATATTGGTGACAGTTTTAAAATTATTCAAGGGCCAGATATGATCTGCCAGATTCCTTTTATAGTCCTGGTATTGACATACAATTGGAATACACAGCTACTTAAGCACTGAAAGTACCCCAACATCCCAATGACAGAACAATATCATCCATATAATGTACACGATTTAACTAGGGCAAAGGGAATACTAATCGCAGATACCTAAGGACATGTTTTCCTCAGGTTTTGCTCACCAATTCTGTAATAATGGTCCAATTTATCCCAGAGAGTTTCATTATCAGGTCTTGGAAGATTAATGCTTTTAAGAGGTTCATAAACTGAGCCTAAAAGAAAAAATAAAAGCCCATCAAATTCAGTCATTTTCACAAAGATAAACAAAGAAAAACTCTAAACAAACGAAGAAGCAGTGTTTAATCTAATTTTCATTATTTTATGTGAAGTACCATACTTTACTACTTGTAAATCTTTTTGCTGGGGGAACAAGAGGGAATAAAGTACCTTTGACAATAAATACAGAAGAACTTGAAATGTCACGGGATATTCCCACCCTTACCTCCAGCACTCAGTCCAACTAATTGATGTGTATATGATCCAAACAACTAAGTGTCACTAATACTCAGGTGGTAGCCATTTGTCAATAGATTCTAGTTATTAAGACATATGTCTAATTAGGTGACCATAAATCCAAACTTCATTCCTTATGCTAATGTTTCATCACACATTTTTTTCTCAAATGATCATACCCCCAAACCCTCAAGGAAAGATAATGTTCACATACTCCAAAGCCATCCACTCCACGAATATTCAGCTAGGTTCCATGCTGAAATTCCTAATCCTTTACTTTCTCCCAGGTAGATGATATTCTTGCCTTATTATCTGGACTATAAGCAGATCATTTCTACTTTTCAACCTTGGAAACTACTCAAAGGTATTAGCAGAGTCAGCTACTCAAAAGCTAGAAAATATACAATAATCATGATAATTTACCACGAAATGGATACAGAAAATTGTTCACTTGACTAGTGCACTTTCTCAACTGCTAACTGAAAGAAAGACATCTGAACCTTCAGCCATCAGACTAAGTACCGTCTCTCATTCTTGTTAAAAGCACTCAGAAATTATAAACATCTCAAGGTCACAAATAATCCACCTCTGGATTCAGGTAATGTATACCATGTAGCCTAAGAACACAGCACAAAAATGAACCTATAATTTACCTAGTGAGGGAAATCACATTGGCATAGATTAAGATTCTGTTTTTAAAGAAAATTAAAGCCTTTATGCTCATAAAATTGCTATGTCCAACACGCTAGTTTAAAGCCAAGGTTTTGGGAAGCCTTTATGTTTAGGCAGATAGTAACACTAAGAAGAAAGTAAAGAAAGAGCCTATATATTCAGGCAACAGTCTCATTATCTTCTGTTGAACAGATAGACTAAGTACTGTCTCTCATTCTTGTTAAAAGCACTCAGAAATTATAAACATCTCAAAGTCACAATTAATCCATCTCTGGATTCAGGTAATGTATACCATATCGTCTAAGAACATAGCACAAAAATGAACCTATAATTTACCTAGTGGCAGAAATCACATTGGCACAGATTAAGATTCTGTTTTTAAAGAAAATTAAAGCCTTTATGCTCATAAAATTGCTATGTCCAACATGCTAGTTTATAGCCAAGGTTTTGGGAAGCATTTATGTTTAGGCAGATAGTAACATTAAGAAAGTAAAGAAACGGCCTATACATTCAGGCAACAGTCTCATTATCTTCTGTTGAAAAGATAGGTAATTTGTAGATAAGGCTTGCTCTGAGTGAAAAGAAGATTTTCTTGTAAGAGTATTCACAATGGCACCAACAGGAATGGGTCCACAGTGAGGAACAGAAAGACCTATCAACAGATGGAGCATCAGTACTCCTTTCCCGCTTCAAAGGAAAGGACCCAGCCACCCTCCAGCCATGCCCCTTGCCTTCCTGTATTCAACTAGCTCCCGGCAGGTATAAGTATATGGGTAGCCCAGCAATCAGAAAGGAACAATATGCCACTGCTAGAGCATAAGGTAATAAGCTCTAGGAGTCTATACACTCCCAATGAAGCTCATTCACTATGAAAGAAAATAAATTAGGTACAAATAATCATAATTTATAAATTGTGCATATGTATATACAAAAACTAAAGGGGACACCTTTGCTGGGGTGGAAGAATTGTGGGTAACATTTCTGTTTTTAGTTAGATCTCTATTAGTAGAGGTAGTATTTTGCTTTACATACAAAAAATATATCACCAACAGTTGAGTATATAATTCCATTACAATTAAATGATACATGAGCATATGGATACAGAATATGCAAACTGAAATCAACCTGCATCACAATGCTAGGTAAATTGATTTTGAAAGATTGTTTTAATGATATTTAATCAAGATTTTAGATTTTAAAGTATTTATTTTTAAAAGTGGTACGATATTTAAGATCTAAGGGACTATAGTGATTCTGTCATCTAATTTTTCTTAAAAAAAAAAAAAGTTTTATTAGAGGCAACAACAAATAAACAAAAGGAAAATCAGACCTCTTAAGAAAATAAGAATCTATTCAGTAATAGGAAAAATAGAAGATGTTCAAAGTATAGCAGAAAGGGTAAAAGTAAAATCATCTAAATTACACATTCAAAGAACGCCTATGATAAGAACAGCTTGGTTAGATAAATGTTATTATTTTAGTGATCATCACTGTATTGTTTCTAAAGCAACTACATAAAATTAAACAAGGATGTTCTACGCAATTTATGGTAAACAATACCACAAATCTAAGTCAAAGGAAAAGTAATCAATGTTAACATTTTAAACAAAAATACGACATCTGGAAAGCATCAATGCCAGTAAAAATGTGAAGAGAGCAATTAATAGAGCATGAACTCCCAAAGCAAATTAAAGAGCTACAAAATAACTGAAAATTCTACTAAATAATTAGTTCCAATTGAAATGAAATGGTAAAATGTTAATTTTTCTTTTCCATGCTTTTCCCATTTGAATTATGTCTATATACAAGCATCATAAAGTAAAATAAAACTTATCAGTGATAGGAGAAAAATAGCTCAGAGCAGACTGAGTTAGGTGAGGTATGCAAAACTTACCAGGCTCAAGAAGACAAGCGTATGGGACTTAATCACACTTTCCCTCCTATGCACCCACACCCAAGGGCTATGTTTACAGGCATTTTTGTTCCTGACTAGCTGCCTTAACCCATTATCTTCCAGTTCCTGGAATCTGTGATACAAAGAACAATATATAGCTAATCAATAGCTTTTGTTATTTTACTACAAGTTATTGGTAAACAACTTAGAAGTCGCCTCTTCCTTCCTTTACAATTCACTTGTAACTGATGCTAATCAGAGGATATATTCCGGGCAGCTTCTAACTATGCTTCCACATAGATTCAGGCTTGAATAAACTCTATAATGAATCACATTTTCTGAATCTAGTTATTTAAGGTTAATATTTTGGCACCCTAGATGAGATCGGAAGTGGATCTCCAGAGAGCCCCACCACCACTTTACCAGCAATTGGCACTTTGGTACCAACGCAGTAAGTCCTCCTTCACCCAACCTTGCCAAAGTCAGCAGGAATCTCTGGTAAGGCCCCTGTTGGGATGTGAATCCATCTGTCTTGATTGTGGATTAAGACTTTATTCAATTCGTACATATTCTTAACTAGTTGAGGTTGGAAGTGAAGCTCTATAAAAGGTAAGAGTTTCATTTGTTATTCTCTAGAGATCTGCTGACCTCAGATCTGTGACTTTCATTTTCTCTGATGTTATTTTGAACTACTAGTTGGAGTTTTTCAACTTTTTCTATAGTTTAAACTTTGGTCTTTGAAAAGAGGGAGTGAATCTTTGTGGCTTAAGTGGAAAACTTGTAGTTTTAAAAACTGACAAATCTAAAATCTTCTTGAGTGACCAAAATAATAAAAGGCTCTCTATGTGTCCCACTAGGTTTCTGGTCATTCAGGAAGGAAAACAAAATTTATGGACAACTATCTCTAAAACCTAGACTTTGTCCTTAAAGAGTGACCCACCATTAGAAACACCAGCTGGATTTATATTTAATGCTTATGGTGCCTCTTCATGCTACCATTTAGAAAACTAGTCACACAAAACTAAAGATGACCCCAAATTACAATGGTTGAAATAGTGTACTTTTAAAACACCTCAACTGGTTTATCTGTGTTCTCAATTTTAAAAAGCTAGCTCTAAAATAAAGTAACGAGGAGAGCTATTTTCAATGATACTTAGAAGTTTCTAAAAGAGATTCTGACAAAGTTATTTCTTTGCAAAAGGAAAATGTAAAATTGTATAAAGTGACTTTTAAAATGAAAAATGCTGCTGAAATTGTTCCTCCTCCTTTTTCTGTTTATTCTTTATTCTAACTGCTCCTTCCTTCCCTCCTCCTGCTCCTGGTGTACTGGCCTCATTTCAGGAATGAGACAGCAAGTATAAAGAGGTCCGCAGAGAACCTCCAACTGGCCTGCACACTGGGAGGAGTGTGCAATGGGTGGAGCCTCAGGAAGTTCACGGTTTGCCACAGGGAGGAGCCTGATCTCCCCTGTTCCAGGGTGGTACCTAGGATTCAATCTATGAGGCAGGAAGCCAGCTAGCAGGACTTTGGCTTTGCTGAGACTCTCTGTTTCCCTTTGTTTTCCTTTTTGCCCGATAAATTCCATTTTTCTTGCCCTTTAAGGTGTCTGCAAGCCTAATCTTTCATGGCTGTGTGACAAGGACCCCATTTTTAGGTGAACTAAGGAGAAAGTCCTACAACAGTTTAGCACCCAACATGGGGCTTAAGAAAGGGTGAGTGAGATGCAAACCAAATCTCTTTTTCTCTCATTTCTAAGCCTTTTCATCCTCAGACTTCTGAGGGTAGGGGAAACCATGCCCCCACCCCCATCAATCCCAGGTGTTGAGAAGGTCAGCCTCAGTCTCCATGGCATTTTCCTTTCTTTTTTGTGACGGAAGGGTGAGCAGGGGCTCCTGCCACCCTCCCCTCCCTGCCAGGGGTGGGACTCATGAAGCAAGGGTGTCCAACAGCAGGCAGCTCTCCCTGCCACGCATCCACGGAGCCTTCCGCTCCCCTAGCCAGGAGGTCCTACTCCCTTGGACAGTAATGAAGTCTTTCTCACTGGTGGAGGAACCTATTTGCATAAAAATAAGAGGTTCCTCTTTAGGCATTTTAAACTGGTTTTTTCTTTCCTTTTCTCCACCAGATCAGGAGTTGACTTTTAAATGAGCTTTTTTTTTTTTTTCCTTTTAGAAGACATTTTAACTAGGCTAG